GCAATAATTGTTTCCGTATAATGAGGTTTTCTCAAGATTGCTTGCTGAAGTGCCCACTTGCTGTTTTTTCTTTTTTTTTCGGGGCATTTCAGCTGTATTTGCGCCTTGATGGAATACGATTGCAATTTTTATCGTTGCCAGATCAATAGAAACTCTGCACTTCGAAGCACTCCTCATTCAGTGAGATTTTAGTTCGCTGACGAATCTGGAATGTGATTGTTCGGATTTGTTTGCATTAATGAATGCTCATACGAGTTACAGTAAGCCAGCATATGTGCCGAGGGCAACGTGGCAGTTGAGATCATGAGAGAATTTCACGAACTGATCGTGTTTGCTCATTGATTTGCGCTACATATGAAAGGATTGTTATTTACCAATATATGATATTATAACAAATATATCAATATCAAGCTAGGTAAAGTATATCAATAATCCAAGTTCGATATTCATGAAAATAGATGATTCCAAACGCTATTATCAGTAGCTACGCAGCAAGAAGAATGCCAAGGAAAGAAGAATGTCATATTAGTAATATTAGTGATAACAGAGAGGCTTGAACTCGTAATGAGTTTGATTTGCTGATGAAATAAATAAATTGATGAAAGGATTGATTACAGAATGGTGACGGCTCAATTTCGTCGAAGGAACTCGGCGTTGCTATGCGTTCACTGGGACAGAATCCCACCGAACAAGAACTTCAGGATATGGTGAATCAAGTGGATATTGACGGCAGTGGCACCATTGAATTTCCGGAATTTTGTCAAATGATGAAACGAATGGATAAGGTATCAGATCGAGATCATATTATATCCAAAAATTTTGTACACTTCATTCATGGTTCTCAACATGGGCATTTTTAATCGCACACCAATGTGCAAAATCAAAAGCATTATATAAAGAGGGTTAATGCTTGTTTGCGAAACTAAATGAATTTCTTAAAATTATCGCAAATTTCTCTTCTTCAGCTTACCAACACCAATTAAGCATGTGTTTATTGGGCGATTCTCCTCATTCTAATGCTATTGATCACAGAATATTTGCCAATCTTTCATGCATTTTCTCTGTCCGTTAGAGCTTCAGTCATTCAAGCCAATGTGAGACATATTCCAGTTACTCGGGATCAATCTTCCACAAGATTTGAGTGTAAATGTTATCATGCCTTTGAAATTTATTTATTCNATATGATAATGAAAATGGTGACTATTAAGTGACTGTGCCTCTGAATCTTATCGAACCCCCTCAAGATGCTCCTGAATCTAATCTCTCAAGATGCTGCTGAATCTATCGTGTTCTGGTGAAGACATTTCAACTTTAAGGAAACTGACAGCGAGATGATACGCGAGGCATTTCGGGTGTTCGATCGAGACGGTAACGGCTTCATAACGGCAGATGAGTTCCGATATTTCATGACACATATGGGTGAACAGTTCACCGATCAAGAGGTTGACGAGATTATTGCTGAGGTGGATATTGATGGTGACGGACAGGTGAGAGAAGCAACTGCTAATCCATCTATATCACTGTCAGAACAATTTTCATACTGATTTGAGTGGAATACTTTGTGTTCTCGCAAGTACACCTTAAAATCTGCCGGCTTTGAAACTTAATGTCTGAAACATTCGAGAGAATTGGCATGCATCGAGGTTATCCATCCTCCATGAGAACAGCTCATGATACTGAATACGATTACACCAAATTAATCATTGACGACATAATGATCGACTGACTTCAGCAATGACTTCGGTAGGAAAAGAACATGATGACGTCGAATAACGTCTAGTTGAATTTAATGAATGCATTCATTGCAACAAATTACTCTTATCCAAAGGGAACATATCAATTCATTAAAATACTCTCTATTCAATTCATCAGTATGCAGTTCACACGAGAGGTTCATTCTCTCCTTAATGCAATGAGCATCAAGAACTCGGAATATCCAATCCATGAAATATTCAGTCATAGTTTCGCTGGACTCTATAGAAAGTGCTGATCGTGAGTTTGGCGACATCTAAAGTAATCAATTTATCGAAACGACATGAGCATAAAGATATCTGTGAAGCTGTAACAATAAATCATATGGATGAGTCCTGATCAAATTCAGATCAAAATGACTAAAATTCAATGGGGAGCATTTGAAGAAATACCGAAGAGATTCACCTACTGAAGTTACCATATAAATAGAGGTTTTCTCCCTCCTCTCCGACAGACCGAGATTTCATTATCAACCTAAATATAATCTCTGATAAAGCAACGTACAAAAAATCAGACTGTTTTTGAAGCAACCGAATGTATTTGATAGAAATCGGTCGGAACTGCTTTTTTAACAATAACTGATGAATGATAATTTAGTGAAGCAAACTTACGATTAGTCATGGAAATGAACTCTTCGATTTCAATGAATTTTAACATAGGAGACTCGGACCGCATGAATGAAAATGGTCTTTACACCTTGAATAGATTCAGAAGCCAAGCGTGAATTCAAGTCAACAGGCTGACTCTCATGTTTACAATCACAAATTTTCATCGAGCCAGGATATTCAGCTGAATCAATTGATCATTATTATAGATCAAATGATCGTTTGCTCAATTTCGGTCACATTCTTTACTTGAAAGAAATTGAAGTTTCGAGCAAACCTAATTACGAACAGATGATTAGCTAATTATAGATAAATAGTTGATTGTTTCGAATATAAGAATCAATCAGACTAAATTCACCTATTATACGTCATACAATTAAATGATTTTTGATCGAATTCAAACAGATAATTAGATAATAGAATCAAGCCAGATCATAGCCTGGCTCAGGATTCAAATAGGTACATCATAGATATTCATTGTTTTCGCGATAATTTGTTCACCTTTCAGATCAACTACGAAGAATTTGTTAAAATGATGACCACATAACGAATCAATCAAATTCAACCGATATCACCGTCATTATCATATCAACACTGCATAAAAATCACGTGTGAATGCGATATGTTATCTGTACAAAAAGCTGGCTTCATCCGTTGTTCTGTTGTGCTAATGCAATTTAATCATGTTGTTTGTTGCTTCCCCTATACCAAATCTATTCTTTATCGCTCATGAAATTGTTGACATGGTATTCGACTTAAACAAACAGATACATTTCATCCAAACGAGATCATNCGAGCTGCTTGAAGTGTGTGGCGCCCGATCAATCTGCCTAAAGACATTTATCCTAACGACAGTTTGCCTAAAGACACATTGCCTAACGGACAGTTTGCCTAAGGAGTAGTCTGCCTATTAGGCGAAATATCCATTAAAAACCGTAAGTTAGGCAAACTGTCCGTTAGGCAATGTGTCTTTAGGGAAACTGTCGTTAGGCTAAATGTCTTTAGGCAGATTTGTCGCTCACGGAAGTGTATAACATTCCGGCAATGTGCAAACGGTTAAGGTGTTGATTAGTTGTAGGCTGAAGATGAATTCAGACAACTGTTGTTGAATTTTGCATCGACAAATTGGTTCCGGCTCTAATTGGTGACGATACTGACGGAATGTCAAACGGAATACGTCAATTCCTTTTCTCCATCAGCTTCTAGGTATTAAACTAACAGGAGGATGAATTTCTGCACAACGTATAATGATGGTACTAAGAGGATGTCAGCATGTCAGCTGTTCCCAAACACACACACATCAAAGTTTGTCATATTTTTGCAAAATCTTACACAGCCACAAAAATTCCTCACTCACAAGTGCATCATGCAGTCTCGATTACTTAAATTCGAACAATTTATTCTGCAATTTGATCTCAGTCAACCATTTGTAATTGATAGGACATCATTACTATGCTATATTTATGTATGACAGTGGAAAGTGAGGAGTAAGGGAAGCCTGATGTGCACTATCAGAAAATCAGTCGGCCATCTAGATTACTCGAAATAACCACTTGACAATTGATGGAATCCCTGAAACCGGAGAAGTCTATGGATCGGTCCGTTAAAATCTCTTGTGGCCTCCTGCTAGAGAGTACCAAATATATTATAGAGTTGTTAGACGGGCTCAGTTAGAGTTTATTTGTTACAATATGACCTTGTCATGAGTTATGAATTCCTGGTTTGCGAATGAAAAGATATCAAATGCTTCGTGCATCACTAATGCAAGATTGTGACTTTATTGACGGAATAGTTGCATTGATCACTGGGCTGTATGGGTGAATCACCTAAATAGTCCAATCGGAATTTTTTAAAGACACAGGATTCCTCACGCTAACACTCTCTGTCAAGATAGGAAAAATGCGAAACGATGTTGGACATAACAAGTCATTAAGCATCGAAATTTTATTAGTGACAGTATATTATATTAGAATGAATAACTGCAACAAAATGAATCGTTGCTAAAGAGGACCATACATTCGTCCTATAAAATATTACAATTCCGTATGAAAAAGTAACGATGATTACATCATCAATAATGTCTTGACAATCATAACACTCATAAGAATAACAATGATAACAATAAAAAGGATAGACCTGCAACAATGATAACAATTAAAGTGATAACAATACCATAACAATAATAATAAAGATCACAGGAGGACGCAGGCTTAAAACAGATTGCGACCAATTTTTACCGCAAGGAGCAAACGATAATAAGTTTTCAGAGGGAGAGGGTGTAAAGAAATGATATTTTCTGTAAAAAGTTTTCTAGAAAGACATCATCATTTTATCGGACTCATCAAAATATACCTTGCGAAAGATCTAAAAATGTTTCAGCACATCATTTGAACACACAAGAAGTAACAAGTAAATTTTATCTTACGAGAAAAATTCTTTCATTTTAAACATACACAATGTTGACATGCCT